ATTTAATTTGAATACCTTTAAAACATAAACATAATGCTGTTCGGCTCACAATAATATAATATTATTAAATCCAAAAACAATGCACAGTAATGGGTGGGAAAACGAAACGGACGTCAGTTTAGAGGCATTTATGTACAGATGTACCTACTATAAGAGTGTGTATATAAAATATATAACTGTCTACCGGTTGATTTACAAGCCGTTAATTATACAGAGTGATGTTAACCTGCCTATGTTTTCGAAAACGGTGGCCTAGACAGGGACGATTAATGTTTTATTATATACCTGGGTTCGAACCGAGGAATACACGGCATTCACCAATTGTATATATACAATATACATATAACATATAATACATATTATTATTATAATTATTGTTATTGAACATGTGTTTTAAAACGGTTTACTCGTGGAAATCGGTTTTGATATAACGAAAACAAAAATGAAGAATAAGCCCCTACAATAATGAGGATAAAATATTTCTTTAATAACCTTCACAAAAGTTACAAACGTTGAACCATTATTGGATGAATATAATATTATAATATGTAGACTTTTGAAAATTAAGTTAGTAAATAAATAAAATTATCACTTTCATGGAGTAAGAAAATTGTATAGTTAATAGAATATATTAAGAAAAAACGGAAAATCTAATCAAACAAAAATAATACCATATATTTGAGAGAGTAATATATTTTGTAAAACAAATTCATTTAAATTAAAGAACAAATTTTGAGTTTATATTTTGAATTTAAATGTTTTTTTTCTTAAAAACTTCTTATACGTGGAATACCTTAGTTAAACAAGTCCAGTTCAGTCCGGTTAAAAATATACAATCTATTTGGATACAATATTTTGGCGACCAAAAGTTTAAACGAAATAATATTACGAGACATTTACATTATTAAAATCGATCTAATGAACTGAAAAATGATAATATTTCAAACCATCATTGAATAATTGTAGATAAAATCTTACTGCTTAGGCATACCCATATATTATTTTGGAAAGTTTTAATTGGGCATTATGAGTTATGGTCCTGGAATTTGTTGGCCGAAGAGGAAATTGAAATGATTTTAATCTAATTTTATATACCTATAGGTAATGTGTTATATGGGAACGAGAATGAGAACATATAGATAGGTATAAGACACAAATATATTAAAATATATAAACCTATAATAAAATATAGATATAGAAATCTAACATATTATAAAGGCACGAATAAAAATAAAATCTAAAACAAATAATGGTGTAGTATGTTATACTAGAGTGTATAACTCGTGCTTTTTTTACGACCACGGTACCGACTATAAATATTGAAGAAAAAAATATGCGTAGGTGTATATCTGCACACCACTATATTATTATTATAATAAAAAATAGGTATATGCTCGCGGAAGAATATTGCCTTTGTATACAAAACACGTGAAATTATTATACGGTTATAATATTAAGTATAATTAGGACTACCTACGCATAGTCACGTATATTATATTGATCTAATTACGAGTTTCGTATTACACGGCAACGACGTAGCGATGGAGCAGATGCGTTGAAACTATATAATACTATAATAACGTCATTACACTGCACAGTTGATATTATACTACCCCATACCCAATAATTGATCGATTAATCCCCTGGCCGTGCACGAGTTATAACAATCATATTATTTTAATAGCCCGGCCCGGCCGACTTATATATATTATTAAAAAGTGCGATGCCCCCCGCACTTTATCACTTAAAACATTATATTAGCTACCCATAACTACGACCTATACCTACCTATATTTAGTTATTATTATAATATATTATATATACATGTACCTACATAGTAATACGTGATATTAAATGCATATAATATACCTGCGCAACTATCGTCGGATGCAGTCTCCGTTGCTCATTATTTTGCTGGTTCATTAAAAAACGGTCAGTTTTTATTTTACATTTTGTGGGTTTAAAAGTTAAAAAGGTCTGCACCGAGCGGCCGGGAGAGAATTCATTATATAATATGGGTCCACGTATAAAAATATTATATATTATATCATTAACAGCAGCTATATAACATAAAACACATACATATATATATATATATAATATATATACACAGCTAGTGCGTTTTATTACAATCATTTTTTTTTCGATTCCCTTCCACTCCAACGCCACGGCAGGGCGTACAATATATTATTATGTGTATGTGTGTATATACATATATATGTATATATTTATACATTTATGATTCGGTCGTATTTACGGGGTGTTTACCCAAACTGTAGGCGCCGGCGTATGTCTCGTCTGCGGCGGCGGCGGCGTTATAAGGTCGGTAAAAAACAAACTTAACGACGTAACTGGCAATCGCGGAAGACAAACGGTCGTTGCGGCGGACGGTATTATACATCCATATATTATATTATATACGATATACGCACGTCATATTTCATCGACCCTGTGTGAGCACGCTCATGCGTGTGTGAGCGTGTGTGTGGATAGACGATTAATATTGTAAAGGGTTACCGCTGGGAGGAGAAACTGGTTCCGACATAGTGGAGGAGTTATTGGTATCGCGTGCACGTGTGTAGGTACATATTGGCTTCACGGTGGGAAACGTTCGAAAAATCAACCACGGTAGGTACCTATCCCGAGTCCGACGCAATTATACATATCATACTCGTTACATATACAAACGATCGTTGTCGGGGCGGTGGAAATATATTGTAATACCTCAGAGTATACCTTGCCTGTATCACAATCATATTATTATTCACCGTTTTCGTATAACCGTACACATACCTAATTAAAACGAATTAATACATTTTTCCATAAGGTTTAGTTATCTAGAGGACGGGGTAACAGCTAGGGGGTGTACGGCACTCGGGCGATTGGACGTTATATGCGAACGACTTTTGGATTTCACCACGCCGTGTGTGCAGTGGTTTTTTTCTTCGTCAAAAATCACACACGTGCGTGCAGTACGAGACGATGGTATTACATTATAACAACGACTGCGCATATGTGTACACATATTATATCGCTCAAAACGATTATCGGCAACGACGCGTATTAAGTGTGGGACGGGGTTATTGCTCGTATACACACCGAACAGTGGAGATTTATGGCGATGTGTGCGGTGTCCAATGGTAAAGCGCATATTATATCCGACCAGATATTTTATTATTATTATAATATGAGTATAAATGACCCCTCTGAAATGTCATAAAACAAGATTAATTCAAGTCGGTTCGAAGACTTTATAGGTTTGATACATACCTACAGTATATATTTAATATGGAACACCGCGGATGTACATATTGTAATAATATAGCTAGGTATATACGCAGTGAATTTATAGAATAATTGATTTCTGACCGCCGCGGTTTCACTGTATATAATTACACACACGGCGAAAACACTTAACTCGTATTATTATAGGCCACCATCATTATTAATTACAGGACAGATGATTCACAAACTCGCCTCGTATAATAATATATAATATGCACCTATATATTTTATTGTTATCGTGCCGGGTACGGTGGCAAGTGGCAACAAGAAGTGCTTGTAAATTGTAATAAATTCGCTGGGGGTTCCCTCGGAGGCAATCCCTTGAATATATTATCATATATGTAGGTACCTATATGCATTTAATGTATGTGTGAGAGTGTGTATACTAATTTTAGGGCGTATATAATAAAAAAAATAAATAAATAAAAATGACCGTATACCGTCCGTTGCACGTATACCAGTCGAAATGACTAATTGACCGCATTTTATGGGTCGGCCACTGTTTTTAATTTACACCTCTTGCCTAAATGGTCCATGAAAAAATATTAAATAATAACAAACGTATATCGGTATAATGGTATACGCACACACAGACTCACAGACTTTTACCAATAAATCTTCTACAAATACGGTTTACACTATTTATACCTATATTGCATATGCGTATTGTTCTTCAAATAATCATTCATAGCCGAGTACATATTATTTGCTTTCAATTCCTTGTCATCGGCTAATGTTAACAATGCACCGATACGGAATGCACAAACGACACCATTCTTGTCTTTTCCGATGAAATAAACATTTTATAAAACTTATACTGCGTTAGAGTCGTAGTTATACTGCGTTCATCAGTTCTTTTCATGCGATGTATTCGAAAAACGAAAACATTTGCATTAAATCGCCATTGACTGCAAAACCGTTTCGTGATCAAGTTACAGTTACGTTAAATGGAAAGGAGAAAAACCTTTTAACATGTGTAATGCGCATTGGAACATGTCCATATTATAACAATCTTGTTTGCATTAACACATGAACACACGGCAAACTACAAATAAATTAGGTACTGTTAATGAATAAAATCAAAATTAGTTGAACACTGTACATAGTGAATAGAAAATACACTTAAACATTCCCAACTATAAAAATCAACAGCCGTATATTATACACTTTTTTTACTGCCTTGGTTTAGTTGAGTAAAAATGTCTTAAAACATTTTTAATGTACCGTAAATTTTGATACGTCGTATACACACAAATGTAAATGATCGAGAACTCCGCAGTATAATTGCTCTAAAATAAGGAAACAGATTATATAATATTATATACACACACATATATAAATTATTTTTGTTCATTAAACAGTAAACATTATTCGGCCTTCATCAATAAATAATTTAAGCCAAATAAACTGCAAGACATTGTACGATGTTGTTTAAACTTATAATAATTGACAAAAAGTTAATACAAAATATTAATTGATAAGTGCAATAATAGTTATTATCCGAGTTGTCTTTGTTGTTTTTATAGTTTTAACCAAATAGTTAATAATAATACGATTCCGCGGTGAGATTAATTAAATATTATGCGACATTAGCATTTGCATTTTATTATTTAATTTTTTATCATTATGATGAGTTACATACATATTTAAGTGCGCGAAATTAAATCTTTTCGCAAGATACGCATCCTTGGATGGATAAAATACAAAATGTCTTCATGCAGACTCCAGACGTGAATTACGGTTTAGGGGACGTATCCAGATTTACGACTAATAAATGTCTTAACGACACCAACACAGTACAGTACAACGGTTTGTGGGCAGGATTAAAGAGCCATTCAAAACGAAGTAAATGCGAGAAACTCGGACAATTAACGTTGCAGCATACACAGGCCCAAAGTGGCCAAGTTGTAAAAGTCAAATGGGTTTATTTAGAAGCCGAAACGACCGTAAACAACACAAACTATTATTGCGGCTGTGATACCGCGGCACACATACGAAACGCGTCTGATACAGCAGCGACACGACACGGTAATCGTACATTTTGGTCGATTTAATGTGATATTATTATGTACTGTATATTATTATGTGCAGCGGGTCGACGGCACACGACGACGAGAAAGACATCCCCACAAGAGTGAATATTCGTAAATAATATTATTGTCAACCACCATTTGAGATGTAACCCTGAGCCTATATGTGGACGCATATTTCTCACGGTCTGCAATATTCGATATATACCTATACACGCAGACGTCACATCGGCAATAACTGCCATTTGTCCTGTATAGAAAGTATACAAATTTAGACAATTAAATCTCACTAAATTTAATTAAAGTAGCAAAAACTCGTTATGAGATTATATTACTTCGTAATAAATGTTTTATTTCTAAAATTGCATCCGAAGCATAATTAATCTGTGTCAATGTATTATAATGAATTTTCCACGTAATATTATAAATTAAATTACGCAATAACCAACAGTCGTGGTATATGATGACAAACCTAGTCAGCAATTCTATAGGCTATATTATAATGCCACTATTTAATCATTACATTGTAATCGTGGCATCGTTCAATAACGATGCCACGATGGATAAAAACAATGTGGGGAATCTATGGGATTTAATGGTTAACACTCATTAGTTATTAGTAGGTATTTAAATTGCAAATTGAAATGTTTTAGTATTGTTTTCTTTATACTTAATAATTTATATTGATTATTTTAATACATTTTTTAGTTAAATATGTAATATAATACCAATGGTCCTATATAACTTTTAAACAGTATTGCACATCATTGATTATTCATTGCAATTTTTCAGTATTCAATTTCTAGTGACTATCCAATAATTGTAGTAGGTATGTTGATAAAACTAAATTGTTTTTATAATTATACTTGATTGGAAATAAATTATTACATTTATAATGACAGGAGACGGTTTAATGGTATTACAATGTTAAAAACTTAGTAATACAATAATAATAACAATATGCAGTCAAAGCTATATTGTAATAATATTTCAACTGATTGGAAATAAATTACACATTCATGATTCAATTACGATTAAATCGTTCGTTGGATATAATTTTGTAATATTAGAAATACAACGTTGATAGTCATTAATAAAGCCACGGTTACATAATAGTACGGGAGTTACTTTTAATTGGCATTATATTATTAAAATTATTTTTTTTTCTTAAGATTTTGTCAAAACTACTTAGGCTAGCCCGTTAAATGGAACGGCTTGAAAAAAAATACGTCCTCAAAATCGCTCTGAAATTGTGGAAAATCGGTTTAGCTGCGAGGAATTTCCTTCGCGTCTTGTAAACTGTCTTCGCTCTTCATCGATTGACGACTAGACCATATAGGTACGCGTTGAGCTGCAGACTACTATAAATTTATTGTAATAAACCTCTATAATATGCCGTCCTGGTCTCCCGTATATTATTATACGACGTGTGCGTGGTGTCACTGTCAGAGGGCCGTCAGGGGCACATACGTATGGACCGCCGCGCCGTTCGAGAGGCTGCTCGCTCGGAGGAGGAGGTGGGAAAAAAAGATCCCGTCGCAGTTTGTTTTCGAGTTGTACTCGTCGTCGTCGTCGCACAGCGGGAACACGTACACGTGTTTTCAATTAACCGCGAAAGAGACGACGGGACGACGAGAGCCCATAAATCCGCATAGGTATATACCAGATACCAGGGGACATCTACCTATATACAATACGACCGACGTCGATCGTCGCCGCCGCCGCCGCGTGTGTTGCAAAACACCTCGTTGCCGGCATGAATAATTCCCGATATTATAATGTACACACGACGATACATGTATATTATAATACGTGTACCGTATACGGAGGACAAAGCCGGCTCCAGTGCTCGTGTGTAGGTATTACGCGTATTACGCCCGCCACCGCCCGCGCGCGTCTGCGACTATAGGACGGCGCTCGTTGACTGACACACAATGCACAGCCGCGATTGCCGCTGAAACGCTCGCCGAACCGTCCTCGCCGTTGTGCAAGTACCTGCAACGCACACGGCGAAAAATGGATACGTGCTCACCATACGATCGGCCTGTACCTGCTATTATATTTTATTTATTTATTATAACGAAGACGCGCATAATAATATACAGGTACATGTGTATTGACTCTCCGGACGCCACCAAACTTCCAGCGACATAGCTGTTTAACGGATACACCGCATTGACTGGGTGTGTCTATACGTACTATATGCATGTGATATATCATGATGGTATATAAATATTGGAAAATAGTAGGTACATCTAAGATGATGGTAAAAAATAAAATATTCCAGAAACTGTTATATCTTAAAGTTATATTGACCATGAAAAAAAAAATAGATTGGTATAAGGGTTTTTATTTGCATTTCTTTAATAAACTGAATATAATTAGGACAGGAAACCTGTACGAATGATAAGGTATCTTGTTTGCACCTTGCTCATTGACAATAATCGTTATAATATAATAAATGTGAGACAATGACTTGCACCTGCATTAAAAATTAGAAAAGAGTGTTATCACTGGTGGATATCAATAACGGTGCTGCAGTCTGTTCATTGATTGTGGTGAAGTACGCGTGATTTACTCTACCATTTAGTTTCGATTATTCTCGCATACGCGGTTGTCGCATATGCGCCACTCTATTGTTATTATTTTATTCATGTTAGAAATCGTCCGATTGGATTTTGAATAGTGCTCGTTTAAATGATATACCTATCGCGCGACAAAGTCTGTATAAACTATAGACACCAGCTACCTCGTCGTGTTTCCCCCTTTGAAGTCACGACTGTCTGCAGTATATACGCGTGTTACGCAGATAGAACATGCAAGCTGCCGAGGGTTTTCGGAATGCATCTGAGAATTGTATGTTAAGTATGCATGATATGTAATTATATAATGTATATATTATTATAATACTCGTTTGACTTAAATGCTCGCCGTTTCGACGTAGGTGCGCAGCGGTTGCGTATAGCGATATTGCGAGCGAATGCACACATTCCCTTTGAATCTTTGTCGAAGCGACGATTCTATAATGTGTTCAACTGATATATTTTCGACTCTACTTCTGTTATAATATCAAATAATGTAACCTGCTTGTGGTTGTGTATAATGCATATAATAGAGCGGTAGGAGGCGAGTTTTATTTTATTTTTTACTCCGCGACCTGTTCCGGTCGACGGTTTTCGCCACGTGAACGTCTTACACGAAAACACTTCTTAACGCGTATACAATAAATACATTAATAAATTGTATGCGTTTCGACGCGTTTCCGATTTTAAAATTTACATTTTTATCGTTTTAACTGGCATACAAACACACGGAAATTATGTTTAATGGCAGTGTGAGAATATGTTCGTGATCGGAGTGATAATATTGGTAATATAATAACGTGTAGTCGATAAAAACCGTAATAAATAGATGATAAGGCGACGTTTCCAAATACAATATACCTCATGATACGAATGTATCTAATAGCAGACGGTAATTACAATAAATTTAGAAGAAATCAATTAGTCCATTATAAAACGTGTATACTGTATATTAGGTACACATTAAAAAAGTGATATTTATTTTAAATGCGATTTGATAACGTATATTCACGGTTATGGTATACGGATGGTATATAAACATGTACATGTTTATATACTATATTTTAAATATACATACGACAACTGCAGCGTTAGAACTGAATGCGCATATAATATACGTATAACAACACACGCCGAGATTATAATAATATTATATTATAATGCAGGTACGCGCCGCCAGATGGGTTTAATTGAAAGAGGCTGGCGATAAATTTTTACTATAGTTAATCCCGATAAGCCGACAAGTTGATTGTCCCGGGTCCGATATATTACTATACACCTATATTATAATAATATACACACAGGTAGGCCGGGACAATATTGTATTTTATTATTATTGTCGTTATGAAATCGTGTTTTGATACCAACTGATATTATTAATATACACCCGGGCACGCCGCCGCCGGTTTTCTTTTTGAAAAACATGTTTTTAATGAACCTTAAAGGAGTTTGACAAATCTACTCGCGTGGGCACATATAATATCTCTGCCTCTCGCTTCTCTCTCCCGCGCCCAGCGTCTGGAACGCGCGTTTTTACGCCACCACTGCCGACCTCCTTCTCAGCTCGGCACCCCGCTACGTACGTGCTTTACAAACGTTATGAGCGAGACGAAATTTACGAGTGTGTTTTGCCACTCTCTGTCCGTTAGCGGGCGGGGGACACAAAGTGCCCGGCAATACGCGTATACACCACATACTGGCAAAAGTGCACGTGAATAAATGGGGACACACATGCGCCGTTGTACATATTATTTAGTACCTAGACAGATTATAATATACACACTATACACACGGCATTTTGCAACACTGTCTGTGCGGTTTATGGGGAGGAAGAAACGCTTACCGGTGGAGGGTAAACGCAGCAACAGAAATCGATAATTCTAATTTTCTGTATATTCTTTATTGGGTTTTTTTTTTCTTGATACGTGTAACGTATTATTTAGACTTTAGTTACAAGTGTATACGAAGGGAGTATATAGTGGAAATAGGTCTTTATTATATAGTGGTGGCTGTGACCAAGTGGTAGACGTTCGATGGGATCCCATTCATCAACGTTTGCGGTTTTGGCATCTGTGGCGTCAGGAAAACCGAAAGTCGTCCGTTGCCCGTTGGCCCGGAAACGCCAAGACGGACGTTAATGTCTGACTGACCGCCCGCCCGTCCCTTAACACGCGACTTCCAAACCAGGAAACGATTCGCATGAAATATCGTCAGACAGTAACAAACACACAGGCTATTTCTTGGCAAGATAAGGAATCGGTAATAGCCGATCATCAAACAAGTAGTCGACGCAGCAGAGTTTTAAGATAAAAATAAAAAATAAGAAACCAACTTAAAACATAAAACATTGTTGTACTTTTTTAACTCTGTTATCTTAAAAAAAAATGGTAAATCGAATGGAAAATATTAGTTACAGTATAAACAGTGGGGTTTGGAAAAGCT